TTTGAGACACTAAGGAGATTTTTAGTGATGTGAGGAACATGCATAAGGTTATTAAGAATGAAAGCATGAGATGTAGGTGATGTAGGGCAATTTATCAAAGCATTACCAATGTGAGCAATATCCATACCTGTTCCATTTGCAGTGTGGACCCTTTCATTGCCATTGTACTCACTAGCCATGCTTAAGTTACTGAGATCATGAGTGAGGTGATGAGTGGCTCCAGAATCAGGAAACCAGTATAGATCTTGGCCTGCTTCAGTTTCTTGAGGGCCAAAACTAGCCACATGAGCTGCAAGGTTGTTGTTGCCATTGTTGTCTGAACTTCCTCCAAGTTGGTTCTGGTTTCTAGAGACAAAGTTGGCAACAAATCGAAAATAGCATTCTTTGGTTGTGTGATTGTTGTAGTTGCAGATTTGGCACCTAGGTCGATTTGTGTTGAAGCCACCTCTTGCTCCTCTTCCTCTATAAGAGTTCATTCTGCCTGAACTTCTTCCTCTTGGAGCATTGTTTTGATTAGCACCTCTGCCTCTATAAGATCCATACCCTCTTCCTCTTCCTTGAGTGTGAGTAGCAAGATTTGCTGCTAAAAAGGATGAATCTCCCTCATTTCCAGTATCAAGACTTTCCATTCTGCTCTCAAAACTCAATAATACCGAGTAGGCTTCCATGAGTGTGCACTTTTCATTTCTGGAGGTCAAGTTTACCACAACTGGATTGTACTCTTGGTCTAGACCAGAGAGGAGATGAAGGATCTAGTCATTTTCTTCAAGTTTCTGACCTGCAGCAGCTAGCAAATCACATATGCTTTTGATCTTGTTGAAATATTCTCTTATCTTCAAGTTTTCTTTCTTTAAAGTTTGGAGCTCCAGCTTGAGCTGCATTTGTCTAGCAAGGCTGTGACTTGAGAAGCTTTTTTTCAAACATTCCCATATTTCCTTTGATGTGTTCAGACCCACAGTGGTTATGAGAATGCTTTCAAAGAGAGATGATAATAGCAATGAAGCTATGAGCTGGTCCTGTCTCACCCAGTGAAGATATGCTTTGTTGACAGTG